CCTGTTACCACCAACTTTGGGGAGGGGTTCTTTAGTATAGTGGTATGTTTTCCAAACAGCCCCTATGGGAGATTTAGGAGTGTCACTAAATACAAAAAAAAAAAAAGATTTACATAAGCGGGAAAATCAACTTTTTACTTCTTAGGCTTAGTTTGGAGGGAATACCAATTTAAATATGTACATTACAAATACATGCAAAATAATACAAAATGTAAGGTTTTGTGCTCTACATATTTGTATTTGTACTCCTAAGTTGAGTTGAGAAGGCTATGTTTGGTTTGAAGGAAAAAGTAGGGAAAGGAAGGAAAATGTATGGAAACATTAAGGCTCCGTTTGGTTTGTGGGATGGGGATGAGTTCTCTCATTTGTTTTGAGGGAAATAGAAGGATGGGATGAGAAAAATGTGGGATGTCAGATCCCAAAATCGTGGATTTGGGGTTGCACCAAAACCATGCGACCCCGGTGAAAAATTTTGAGAAACCACTGTTACTGGCCTTCTTCTTCACCTGGCAAAGGAGCCGGTGCGAGGGGCAACGACGATCTGTGACGATCTCCCTCCATCTTCCTCTTCTCTCTTCTCCCTCACCTTCTTCCCGTCTTCACCAGATTTGTGGCGATCTACGAGGGGCACTCCTATTCTTCCCATATTCACCAGATCTACTTTCTCAGCTCTCACCACTACAACTCATTGAGCTCTYATTCAACTCTTGGCATCTCTCACCGTTGCAACTCATGGAGCTTTGTTATTCAACTCTCAGCAGCTCTCACCGCTACAACTCATGGAGATTTGCTTTCTCAACTCCGGCGACGAACCAACCCGTTACAGTGTTTTTCCTATTATTTTTTCATATATAAAATCAAACAATGGAAAGGTAAATTTTTACACTTTCTCATCCCATCCCACTCAAATCTTCCCACAAACCAAATGAAGCCTTATAAATATTGCATTGGTTTCCTTGCATTTTCCTTTCTTTCCCTACCTTTTCTTTCCCTACCTTTTCCTTGCATTGGTTTACACTTTCTCTCCAAAACAAATTGAAATTTTTTGCATTCCAACCCTCTACCAACATTGGAACCACTATAAAAGTGGAACCTGCCATGTATGACATGTGCAGTGTGAGATGAAGTTGGTACAGAATTGGAATCTGTTTTGTTGGTAGGTGATCCGGGTCTCAGGCAAAGGAGGTTAATCAACGCAAGGCAGAAAGCCCTTCCAAATGGGTTCTACATGTCGTGTTTTGTTGTAAAGGCTGCAAATGCAAATGGAAGTATTCTCCACCTTTCATCCTACGCGACATCATATTCCTCACAAAACCCAACGATATTGACGACACACAATCATCCAACTGTAGGGGCATTCCGTAATTTCATAAAAGTCGACGCCCTAAAATATATGTGTCTACACCAAAACCAGTATCAGTTTTCGCGGCCCGGCCAGCGCCTCTAGCGTTCCTCCTTCCCCCGCAGGTTTCCAACCATCTACCCTTCGGTTCAGACTACAGACATCTAAAAAGTAAAAACTAAAACCCCTCCATCGCAAAACTAGAAGGTGAGCAAGTTAACGAATCTTCTTCACTTCTTATTACTGCCATGACGATCTAGTTCGAAGCAAACCCTAACTAAAACCCTACAAAAGCCCTACCACTCTGCAATAATTTTCGCTAAAAGTAGAAACAGTAAAATATTGATCAAGTTTGCCGGCGATGAAACTGGGGAAGATTAATGTCTCTACCACAAAAGCTTGGATCATTATCGGCATCGGCGTCGCCGGGGTTATAATTCTGGCTGAGACCAGAAGGAGAAGAAGAAGGAAAACCGAAGCCAGGGAAGATTTTGGTGCATTCATCGAACGCTTCGAGCTCCTTCCGGCCCCCCAACCCCCTCCTCCCGCAGCTCGCCAGCTTCTCTCCGGCCTCAATTTCGCCATTAGTGACATGTTCGTATCCTCTTGTTATCGTAAAGGTTTGTCTTTATTCGGGTTTCTATGTCTTTTTTCTTGGCAAAATTTTGCGTTTGATCGTGCTGTCGTTGGGACTTTGTAGTTTTGATGTCAAGGAGTATGTGACTGGATTCGGGAATCCGGATTGGAAGAGAACGCACGAGCCGGCTGGTCGGACTGCGGTTGCCGTGTCGTCCCTTYTGAAAAATGGGGCTACTTGTATTGGCAAGACAGTCATGGATGAATTGGCTTTTGGGTATGCATTCTGATGCTTATGCTGCCTTATTTATTTGTTTGGGTTTTATCGTCCTTGTTTGATTTTAATGGGATGCGCATGCAAGTTTTCTTTCTGGGTTTAATAAAATAAAGGAAACGAAACAAATGAGAAATGGTTTATTCGTTATAGTTCCCACTCATTGTTTCACGAGGAATTGCATCTCATTGAAGGAAAATTATGTCTCTGAATTGGATTCATAGACTCATTGGTCGTGTCAGATTGTTTCCGGTTGAGTTTATAACAGTGTACGATTGCTACTGCGTTCTTTTTATTAAGGCTCTGTTTGGAAAGAGTACAAATGCAAATTTGTAGAGTGCAAAACCTTACATTTTGTATTATTTTGTATGTATTTGTACAAAACCTTACATATTTGTACTCCTTCTAAACTGAGCCTAAGGAACAATTGAAGATCACCGTACGTCCCATTTGTATTTTCTTTTGCAGGATTACTGGAGAGAACTTACATCATGGAACACCGAATAATCCAGAAATGCCATCTCATGTTCCTGGAGGATCGTCAAGTGGTTCAGCTGTGGCTGTTGCAGCTGGACTGGTGGACTTTGCTCTTGGTAAGGAATGCTGGGCCGAGTGATTGATCTTGCATATGTTTTGAACGCAGAAACTCAGTATTTGTGTTGTTTACGCAGCATTGTAGTGTTTATATAAAAACAAAACAATGATGCTAAGGTTTATATTGGCCTTAAAGATATGCATCATACATGCAACATCAACTTCTATGTTTTGAGAAACTAACAAGGTGGCATAATTTCTTGCAAATAGTGAAACTGCACAATTAAAGCTGTGAATGGAAACAGTGCACCTTATGTAGAAGTTTTGGCACAGGGCAAAGTTTAAACACACCTTCCCCAGTTCTATTGCAATGCCTCCCTTATTTATGTTTCTATTAATGCATACTTTTTGTAGATAATAATAAATTAATAAGATACCTGCAATATAGGTTTTTTGTTAAAAGTTTTAATCACATATAAACTTAGGCTGATAAGTGTATACTCCTTTTTAATTTGGTTTACCAATGTTGGGTTGGCCTATTGAAAATGTTGACATGTTTGTTGAGAGTTTGTTCCCTGGATAGTCTGTGAATTCATGTTCTAGCCTTCTTGGGGAAAAAGTTCATCATATTGAAGTTTAAAGATTGCTATGTTATCAGGTAGCTGAGTAACCATGTTGTTAGTTTTGTACCAACATGCAGGGAAGTTTCAAATATGCCTTTTTTTCTTCCTTTCTTGGTTTCGTTGTTTTGCATAGTTTTCAAGGTGCTGACAGGGGGATGCTGTGTAGCCTAGGTGCCAAGGCAACCCACTTAAGCATCACCTAGGTGAATAATCTTCGTCTAGGTTTGCAACCAACAATCATCTTTAACTTGTACTTATGAATAATCTTCATGAAATAAGCATTAACTTCATATCAAGATATAGAAAGTGAACATCTTCACAAGAAGAAAAAGAAAAGAAAACATAAAATTTATAGGGGCTGAATCTCTGTTTTTGTCCTAGGAAAACAAGAAAAGAAAGGGTGGAAGAGAAAGAAGAAGAATGTCTTGATTGTATAAAATTTTAAGTTCTTCCTTGCTTATCCATTCAGGTTTTGAAGTTGAAGACAACATACATGAACACGTTTGTTGATTAAACCCTAGCAAATAAAAACAATAAAAAGAAACTAGTATATAAACCCATAGAATGAATAATTTGGTTCAATAATGCCTATTTTATTACTTTTTCAAAAAATGAATATATTAGTTTTTTTCCCAAAAAATTTGATTTTATTATTATAATCTGAGAAAAAAATAAAAAATATTATTTAGTGCGTACAAAGAAGCTACACGCTTAAGTGAGGCAAACCTCCATAGTCTGTTTGCTTCTTCTTTTGCATTGATTTGGTAGTAGCTTCAGAATATGCTTACTGTTTTCATTCATTTTAAGTAAGAATTGCTAATAACTAAGTTGTTGGTTATTGATTATCCAACTATCAATTGAACATTAGTTTTTTTTTTTTTTTCTTTCTTTGATTATTCCTTCTTCTTCTGATTGTAAAATGATATCCTTGTCTTCTTTTTTTATAGTTGAATTAACAATTTATACTTACTTACCCATGCAACAATCTTTTACTTTGTTTGCCATGTTTGTTATCCAGCTAAGGCCTTCATTGACCCATTCTCGCTAGATTATGCATAGATCATGTGGTTTTGCTTTTGCTATTCTTTTTGATCATGTGAAGCCTTTCCTATAATGTAGGTACTGATACAACTGGATGTGTACGAATCCCAGGATCGTGTTGTGGTATCATTGGATTCCGACCTTCTCATGGTGTTGTATCAACTGTTGGAGTTCTGTCAAACTCGCAAAGTCTAGACACTGTTGGTATGGCACATTTGTTCTTTATGCCGTTGGGGGCTGGAACTCTTGACAATTTAAAGCTTGAACTCTTCTGTACCATTTCAACATTTGTGGAAAGTTTTAAGTTTTCTAGCTGCTGTTTGATCCATTTAGTGGTCTGGGTCTTGTTGTATCTCTCTTCAATGTGCTGAATAAATTACATTACCATTTTCCAAAAAAAATATAATTTGTATTATGTTGGTGTAATTTCAATTCTTCTTTTCTAGCTGCTAAGAAGTGTCTTACAATTCTTCTTGACAATTTAAAGCTTGAATTCTCTTGCTCATGGTGGTGGAGTGAATCCCTTGGACATCCTCTGTTCTCAACTGGATCTTGTAGGGCTGATCTTTAAAGCTTGATGATCAGATCATCAGAATGAGAAATCCCAGAACTCACTGTGTGGGTTTTGCAAAGGTGATCTATATGGTGACAATAAATAACTGAAAATTTTAGAAGGTACTTACCAAAGGTAATGATATGAACATGCATTCCTTAAGATTAAGCTTAAATAAACAGAAAATATCAGATACTCTAAATGGAATGGTATTCTATACACCCCTATTGATTTAGTCAAGCCAAATAGACWGCATGCCAAGCCATCATCTATCATTGTGGAAGAGAGAGAAGAAATGAATGGAGATGAGAGATGGGCAGAAATAGAAGTAGGATAAAAGCAGAATGACAAAAACGTGGAATGAATTGGCAACGGTAGAGGGTATAATGGGGAAAGAAGGCAAGTTATAAGGTCTGGGTTTGACCTGTATAGCCTACGACTCTCAAGAAAGTGAGGGAAGGAAAGAGCAGTGCAGGTAGAAAGGATAATATGTTAGAAATTGAAGGTCATAATTGGAAGATAAAGTGTAATAATTGATGACAAAGGCGTTCAAATCCCCTTTTTATATAATGTAATATATAATTAAGGAAATTGTAAAGGGTTAAGGAAAGTGAATGGCAGTTGAGCAGAAAATTCATGGTAGAATTATTAATGAAATGTTTATTTGGTCTCAGTGATATATAATGTTGATACAGTCTAAGGATACTAAGCATGCTGAAATATTGAAAGACTTAAGCTCCATGCTAACTCTTTGGATATAGTTTTTTTTTTTTTCCCAGCTATTTGTTTCCTCCAAAGTATTCTCATTATGTTTCTGAGTTTTTTTCTCATTCCATGATTTGGAAAACCTCAGGGTGGTTTGCCCGGGATCCATCTATTTTGCACCATGTTGGGCGTATACTACTCCAGGTATCTCCAGTGGAGCTTAGAAGGACCAGACGCTTTATCTTCGCTGATGATTGCTTCCAACTTTCAAAGGTTCCTAAACAAAAGTCAGTCTATGTTGTTAACAGATCAACTGAGAACCTATCTGGGTGTGAGTATGCATGCATATAATGTTGTTTCTGACATGATAGCATTTAGAGAAGTATTTATTTTATGACCCTAATAGTAATGCTTGTAGTTTTTTTCTTGATCAATAAGTCATGCTTGTAGTTTGCTTGGCTTCCTCTAAAAGTCTTTGATGTGCTCATGTGCCCATGTTGTTTGAAATCATCATTTGATCTTTGTTTCATTAATTCTGCAGATCAGCCACCCAAACACATGAATATTGGTCAGTATATTGCTTCAAATGTACCAAGTCTAAAAGGATTTCATGAACCATCTTCAAACTTGCATCATGGAACATCTACTTTGAAAGCTTTGTCTACTGTGATGCTGTTGCTACAGAGGTAATTTTGATTGGTTTCATGGATTTTTGGGCACTGTACTAGTGGAAWAAGTATTTGTCATTTAGGGGTCCTTTAAATCTGGTGGTGGGGCAATATATATTTGTTTTATATCAGGACTGTTTTTTGGATTGGAAACTACACATTTTTTTCAGTAGCATATAAATGTAGTTTGAACAGAAAAGAATGGACAAATATGATTGCTCAAAAGTCAAAACAAAGACTGCATGGTTGCAGAGGCATTTGATTGGGTAGGAGATACTGCAGTTTGGTGTCCAGTGTTCAGAAGGAATTTAAATGATTGGGAGGTTGGGCAGTGGATGGAGTTGATGCAGCAGCTATCTGGTATAACTCCTGGCTCCACAGGTAGAGACAGGAGAATTTGAAAGTGGGATAAAGAAGGATTTTTCACAGTGAGATCTTTCTATAATAAACTCACGAAGGTGGAGGTGGAGGTGGTGGATTTCTCAGAGGCTGTAGTATGGAAACCCGCAGCCCCTCCAAAAGTTGCTTTTTTATTATGGGTGGCAGTGTTGGGCAAATGTTTGACAGCGGAGGTTTTGGCCAGAAGAGGGATGAGCGTGCTGCCTAGCAAGTGCATTATGTGTGGGGAAGCATCCGATGACTTAGAAGTTAGAACATTTACTGATCCATTGCAGAGTTGCTCCTTTGGACAAAGTTTTTGGGGCTGTTTGAAGCGCAGTTTGTTTCCTAGAAAATGTGCTAGCAGTGTTTCAGAGTTGGCATCTGAAGGTCTCTCGAAAGAAGGCAAGGTCATTTGGAGAGCAGGTCCAGCTTTAGTGATCTGGACAATATGGACAGAAAGAAACAAAAGAACGTTTGAAAATGTGTATGTTTCAGAGGAAAATTTATATAAAGGTTTTTGGGGTAGGATCCCATAATCTGTTCAGGATTAGACTTTATCGCTCATTTTGTACTGCTGGAGCTCTTTTTGTATCTATGCATACAGAGTAATCTTTTTAGTTGATGTACAGCTTTTGACTGGGCACTGCACAGCAGGTGTGCCTAGGGTATGCACCTCACCTAGGTTCTAGGTGCAGCCCTTTCAAAAGGCGCGTGCTTGGTGTGCCTTGCGCCTCAGCCCAGGTGTGCGTCTTTTGAAAATTTGATGCCTTTTTGCTTTTTTTGAACTTATCGGCTGGATTGGGGGCTCTGCCGCTGTCTCCCATGCTATGCCCCTCAAGGCAAGCCCAAACAAGTCCATGTTAGGGTCTTAAATTCTCGGTTCTCACACAAAAAATAATGATTTTGTAATTTTAATTGCTGTTTAAGAAGATATTTTATTAGGACGAATGAATGAACAACATTACCAAATAGAATATGCTTTACATGTTATGTTTATGTATTTTAATTTTAGATAATAGGTTTTTTATTTTTTTTTAAATTTAGCTTTATATTTTTTATTAATATTATGTTTAATATTTTTTTTTGCATTTTTTGGATTTTTTGAATTTTTTGACTTTTATTTTTTAGTTTTAGCATTTTTTATTGTTGTGCCTTGCTTCAAGAAGGCGTGTGCCTTGCCTTGCGCCTTGTGCCTCAGGCTCAAATTGACCCATGCACCTTTTTTGCACCTTGCACTTTTAAAACACTACTGCATAACTCCTTGTGCAGATTTGGTTCATACTTTTTGTCTAACTAGTAAGTGTGCACATGTGGTAATTCTAGATGATGATAATTATAGTAATAATATATCCAAAATTTTCTATAAACTTTATGTATTTCTTATTTTTTGTTTTTTATTATTAATCAGGTGTAGATTGCAAAATTCGAATCTGATTACGTAAACACCTCATCGAAATACATGATAATTAGATTGAATTGTGAAGTTTCAAGTAACATTGACACGCCGACCTGCTTGGCTAGACTCTTATTTTTGTAGTGTTTTATCTTTTTGGTGTACCTTTTTTCTTTTATTCATTTATAAAAAAATGTAAGATTTAAATTGAAGGAATGAGGTGAAAAGTAGTAGTTCAATTTACAATTTGAACCTTACAAATAAATAGGAACTAAATTAAAAAATGTGTATTTTAGTCACTACTTTAAAAACCGAACTAGACTGAACGGTCGAACCATTTTAGCCCTGAACCGCTATTTTACAAAAAAAAACTATTGAAATGGTCAGAGAATTATCGACTTGAATGGTTTAACCGTTAAAATGTTCAACCCAATTAGTAGGTGTTGGGTTGCTTTCAAACTAATTCCAAATTTTTTATTTATTTTAAAATATAATTTAGAAAAAAAAACTTTCATATCTCATATTCATGTTCAATTATTCCTGATGGCCCAAATTAGTTAGGGTTTTTAGTTTTTCCATTTTGATTTTGAGTTTTCTCATTTATGTGATCTTTTTAAGTTGTAATAGCAAAAAAATTACAACTCCAATGAAGAAATTGAAAAATTGATGCAAGAGATGAGAGATTAAACATCGATCTTGTATTAAAATCCAAGGTACACCAAGTCACCAATGAAGCAAATGATTTGGGATTTAAGATAGATTTAGAAAGATGAGAGAGATGTAAGAAGAGGGCAAACAATGCTGTAGCGGTGGTGATGATGAACATGGAGATAGTCGCCGACGGCTTCTTCTTCTTCTCAAGGCAAAATGGTTATGCAACAACGACCGGTGAACATGGTGACAACCACCTCTAGCGATGCTTCCTTCTTCTTCTTCTCTTTGCTTTTTTTTTTAACTTCTTAGCTTTAAGCAGCCGTTTCCTTCTCAAAGTCTCACACTCCCTTCTCATAATAATGTATATATACAGTGGACTTTAACCTATTCTTAATCTAACACTCAAAATAAAAAGTTACTTTATATTTTACATCTTACCAGTTTGACCCACTCAAATTGGATGGTTGAACCCTTGGCCCGGAAATTGGAAGCCAAAGCGGTTCCGTTTCTGGGTCGGTTTTTAAAACCTTGATTTTAGTCAAAAGAAAGTTTCACAATCTTATTATATTTTTAATAGTAGTGTAAATATAGAATTATAGATGCATTCAATTTCTTCTATATATTTTTTTTGTATTTTTGTGTAAAAATAATTCTAATATGTCACAATTACTTTTTGTTTAAGATGATAAATACATGTGCTCGAATGCTTTTTTTTGCAAAATTTATGTATTTTTTATTTATTTTTATTTTTATTATTTATTTATGACATTAAAGGTGAACACATTTGACCCAAAAGTTGAACTTTTTATTATTAATTTTTATATTTCATTTTTGGTCAGTTCTAAATTATGTATTTCATTTTCATTATGAATAAAAATAATTCTTGTTTATTACACTTATTTTTCTAATTTTTGATTAATAAAAATATCATAAATGTTTTTTACATTTTGTTGTAAATTTCTATATTTATTTCTATTTGAAAAATTTTATTGCCTAACTATGACTTCATAGGTTGACCAATTTGATTTGGATGGTTGAATTGCTCAACCACCAGTTGGATAAAGAATGGTTTTTGTTTTTGAGTAAGTTTTAAAATATATGAGTTTATATTGTTAAAAATTCTGACATAGATCTAATTAGTAGCATTTATTAGTGAAAAATAACTTAAGAATATAGGATTTAATAAGAGAAAATGGGATTTAATATGACTTAATGAGAGGGGATTAAATGAGGTGGAAAGTAATAATTGAAGTTAAATTTTCAACCCTTACAATTAGAGATGGATTAAATACACAAATATGGCCATTTTAATAGTCATTAAAGCTAGCATTAAACTAAAATAAAATGACTTTTATGCCTTTTCTCAAACAAAGAAATAGAGGGTAGTTTTAGTCCGAGAAAAATTTCACTGCATCCACACTTTTATATATAGTATAGATACATTGTTTTAACTTTTTTTCAAAAAAAAAAAAAAAAGAAAAGAATGGCAAAATGAGATTCATGCTGCTAACCCCATATAATTGGGACAAGGCTTAGATGATTCTGGTGGTGGTGATGATGATGATGATATAAATGTAGTTGCACTGTTATAATAGTAACAGTACTTCGCTTACTTTCTCTGTTTTGCCCTTCCTATTTGATCTAACTTGTTACATTTTAGGGTTTCAAATATTCTGTTTAGATTTCTTACCATTCTTTGTTGTTAATTGTTTCCTTATTTTTTTTATTTCACATGCCTGAACATTCATATTCCTTAACTAGTGCTGCTGCCTTATTTAGAAATCTAGGAGACCTTAAGAGAAACTTCAAGCAACCCAAAATTCCCCATCAGTTGACTTAAACAACTGCTCTTCAGCCCTTTAGATTTCTTAATGCCAACCCTTCTCCCCCAGTTATACCCTCTTTTTTTCTTGGATTTTCAGCACTTTATTTTTCTCTTTAAAACAGAGTTCATTAATTCTAATCATAACTCAAATAAATCCTACATTCTAGAAGTAAGCGAGGACCACATTTTTTTCCCTAGTTGTTCTATCTTCTATTCTATTCACCCTTAACTGACATCCTAATTTCAGTTTTTTTTTTCCTGCTTCAAAGTCTTAATTTAAGTTGATATCCCCTGTTTTGCCCTTGTATACTGTTTCATAGTACTTGCAAATTGCCACTTTTTTCTTCCCCATTTCTTATTGGATATCAGTTAGAGACCTTTGAGTTGGTGGTCTTAATGCCTTTTATGTGATTGCCAATTTCATACTAACCAACACCGGTTATACATATAACCTTTTCAGATATGAGTTCAAGACAAATCATGAAGAGTGGATTAAAACAGTCAAGCCCAAGTTAGGACCCGATATCTCTGGTCGTGTTCTTGCAGCAATTAACACTAGCAATGAAAACATTAAAACTTTCTATAAAGTCAGGATTGAATTGCGTGCTGCTCTTCATAATCTCTTAAAGGTATTCAACATCTTATCTTTGAGCCTCTTTTTTGTAGACTAAGCATATCTGTTGCAGTTTGCTCATGCTTATCTATACTTTTGGTGGTTTTCAAAATTTTCTTGAAAATTGTATCAGTCATTTAACCAGGAAGGGGCCTAGTTTGGTTTTTTGCTGGTTTAACAAGGAGGTTCAACCTCAACCATATGTGACTGTGCTAGGTTTCGTTGTATCAGAATTGAGTTCTTTTCTGGGTCATCTGGGTTCAATTTGGTTTTTGAAAACATTTGTATATTGTTGTTATTTGTTTATTTCTATGTTGTTCTGAGAGAGAAGAGATTGTATATTTGTTTAAGTGTTATGCTTGCAGTGATATTCCGTAGCATATTAAGGTTGTTGATAGGACAGGGTTAGAAGTGATGTCATACAAAGGAACCTAGGAGTAGCTCCAAAAGGTGATAAAATGAGAGAAAGCAGGATTCATGTAGCGACCCCATATAGTTGGGACAAATGGAGGAATTGGGAGAAAGTGAGAAACTTGATTTGTGCTTCCTTCCATGGTTTGTTTTCCTTTTTTCAGTGTTTGTATCGGATTTTTTGGAAGGAATCTGATGAAAAGAGGTTATAGATAAGCTGTTAGCGTATTTCATCTTGCCATTTGGATTTGACTAGATTAATGGGAGGTCTGATATGCAATAACATGGCTTACCTAATTGTTGCACAATTGCTATAAATTCTATTGTTCTAGTTTGTTTGTTTTTTTTTTTCTATGTAGCTTACTATCTTTTTAAGATTTTATTGATTTGATAACTGTTACAAATCTGATCTGTACTGGTTTCAGCTCTAGAATAGCAGAGAAGAGAGAGAGAAGAGAGAAAGAAATGAGAAAGAAGAGAAGTAGTAGGAGAGAAAAACTGCTTCGAACTAGAGAGGAAAGATTACTTTCTCTAGTTGGCCAGTTATTATTATGTGTTTCTAATAAAAGTCACAAAGACCGTTATGCCCCTAATTAAGTATGGGACATAACACTTAAAACAGAATATAAAAGACATTACACCACACTCTTAATATAAAATAAAATGGCCAAACTACCCCAGTACAGCTGACTCTAACAAAAACATTTGATAGTAATTTATTTTTTGTGAGATCCTGTTTCATGTTTGTTTCTTACCCTGTTTTAGGATGATGGAATATTAGTACTTCCAACAATTCCAGATTCTATGCTAAAGCTTAATTCCAGCAAAAATCTGTTCACTGAGTTCCACAATCAGGCATTTGCATTATTGAGCATTGCGAGCATGTCTGGGTGTTGTCAGGTATTCTAATATAATCAATCTTCTGGAAAAAGGATTTTAGTAACTTCCATTTTTCCATGGTTTTTATGTTAGTGGAATTATATAGATGTCACAGCTTTGTTTCTGACTGCAGGTTACTGTCCCATTAGGAAAGCATGATGGTAGTCCTATATCCATTTCATTTATAGCATCTCATGGGGCAGATAAGTTTCTTCTTGATACCATTTTGGATATATATTCCTCTCTTCAAGAACAAGCCAACATCACCTCAAATTCATTGCCAATGCAAGATATTGATGGCAACATTGATACTTCAGAACTCTTGAAAGAAAAGGTTGGTTGTATGTAAAATGTTGAAGTGACTATTTATCCAACAATAAGAGCTTCCATTATCTTGGCATTAAACATCTCATTCTTTTTATACGCTAAAAGTTGTATGTAAATCATATACAAAAACTGTGTTTTAAAAGGTATGGGAGCCTCCAGGCTAGGCGCCCCCAAAACGTCTTTAGGCATATGCCAGAGGCGCTGATCCCTCTGCAGGTCCATGAGGCGTGATAGAGGTGTACACTTCATGTGCACCTCATAAAAATGGCAGAAAAAAAAGGAAGCAAAGGAAAGGAAAAGGTAAGGAAAGAAAAGAAGAAAAATGAGAAAARAAAGAAAAGGAAAGGGAAGGGGAGGAAAGAAAGTTTGGGCCGGGGGCTCTGCCTCTGGACCCCCCTTAGCTGGGGGCCAACCCCCTAACACCTTTTTTCATGCAGCTCAATTTGGTTTTTTGTGCCAGAGATCTCCACTAGTCCAATTTCCTTCTGCAATCCCAATTCTCTTCCATAGTTTCAGGAGAATGTTGAATTAAATACTGCAACATTTGCATGCTTACAAACTCATAAATTGCGTGTTTGCAAGTTCGGTTAAGAATTTAATTGACATGTTACTATATCTTGTTGACAATGAAAATATTTGTCCATTGGACAAGTATCAGAACATCTGGCACTGGTACCTCATTTGCACAAGAATTTTATTTTCCTCTGATATGCTTTCTGTTCACTATTTTCTTGTTGTTTTGCAGGGAAATGCTGCATTTAAGGGAAGACAGTGGAATAAAGCTGTTAGCTACTATAGTGAAGCCATCAAGTTGAATGGCACAAATGCAACCTTTTACTGCAACCGAGCAGCAGCTTATTTGGAATTAGGATGGTATGTCACATTTTGGTGACTAGTAAGTTGCACATTGCAATTTCAGATGATGATAATTCTCATTCATTACATAGACATGCCCTATTTTTCTACAAATTTTATGAAATTGTCTTTACTTTTTCTATATTTTTATTTTTATTTTTAATTTATTACATCATAGGTTCACTTGTTTGACTTAAATTGTTGAACTGCTTACCCTCACTACCCAGAGGAAATGCAGTTACAATTAGTTTTTAAAACATTGGTTTTTATGTGCTTTTCAACTTGTGGTCAAATTTGCTAGTTGGACCAGTTGACCAATCATCCATTGAGGATTCCAGGTCCATTTCACCACCAAACTACTTGCTTGTAAAAAACCGTAGATGCAGCAATGACCTGGTGGCCCAACCAGCTGAACCATTTGACCCAGAACAGGTTACATATAAATTGTCTTTTTTTTTTTCTGATTTTTTGCATTTGATTTCCAAGTTGTCCAATACAATACCTGATACTGATACTTTAATCCTTGCCGCTGACCTACCATTCAGATGGAAAAAACAGTTTCATTTCCGGGTCGATTATTAGGAATCTATGTTGCTTGGTATCAAGTTAGCCAAAAAACAATGTTGCATGGTATCGAGGAATTCCCTTTAACAACTAATTTCAATTCTTAATTTTTGCAGCTTTCAGCAGGCTGAAGCAGACTGCAGTCAAGCAATATTACTTGATAAGAAGGTTAATAGAAAGGACATTTAACTTTTATTACTTTATTGAGATCGCGTCTCTCTTTTTCTATTCTTTAGTCTCATTGCTATTGGTTATTGAGATTGTTACTCTTTTGGGAGCTTCTTTCTCCCGTTTCAGAAATACCATCATACTTGAAACTTTTCTGAAAAAAATTCTGTTCTGTTACATATATACCTCAAATGATTTAAAATCCAGAGTGTGATGTAAAGCACACCACCATTCTAAGGCATGAAGTGTAAAGGAGGTATAAGCCTCCTAAGCATGGAAATTTTAATTAATAAATAATTAAAAATAATAAAATATTAAACAATATAGTAAATATCCCATAAATAAGAAAAAGTATGTGAAACTAGGAACTTTCATTTTTTTTTTCAATTTCTATTAATAAAACCATCACATTTAACTATAGAATTGAAGTATCATCATCCATAATTTTAATAGTATTATCAACTATCAATATAGGGACCATTGCTTGGTGTAATGATAAAATCTCAGGCTGGCAAGTATGAGAGCGTCGGCTTGAGTCTGAGAGTGGGCACTTTGTGCAAAAAATGCCAAAGGTTAGGACGTTATCCGGTCTACCCCTCTCAAGACCTCAGATAGCTAGGACCAACATAGGATAATGGCCTTAATCTATCAATATATTGCCTGCAAAGTTGAGAACAAAAACCTCAGAATTAACAATTCACATAAATTTCATGACATTATCATAGATGTTGAAATCAAAATTTGTTTTGGGGGATGTGATGCATATGCAATTTAGACTCTCAAGGGAAGCAAAGGGGCTAATTTAAGAATTAAAAATGATCATGCAGTCAGGCTTGAACCTGACCTTTGGCATTTTTTTTTGGGCTTGGCCGCTTGGGCACGAAGTGGCTCTCAGACTTTGAACCTGTGTTCCACGCTTTTCAACCAAGCAATGGTCCCTTGTTAAGAGATGATGCACAGAATTAAAAAATTATACTCTTTTTTTTGATGAATTTCAAAAATTATACTCTGGCAACACAGTATTTGTTGGTTTCAATTCAAGGTGCACTTTACTTTTCTGAGGTAGCTTTTGTTAGAGCTATTTAGCTAGATAGGGTATTGGCCTTAAGCAAAAATCATTTAAATGACCCAGTAACAAACAGGTGGGGTTGGGGGAGGACTAGAAAAGATAGGATCAGAAATGAGTATGTTCTTGGGAATTTATGACCATGAATGGCCCCATTAGGTGATAAAATGAGGAAAAGTAGATTAAGATGGTCTGACCATATGCATAGGCTAGTTGTGATCAATAAKAACAATGACCCGATCCAAGTTAAGGGGTCTAGAAGAGCTAGGGGTAAGTGGAAAAATACATAGATTGAAGTGGTGAGATGATTTTGAGGGCCCGTAACTCCACAATGGATATGCACTGAATAGAGTGGAATGGGAGAAAAAATTCATGTAGTTGGTCCCATATGGTCGCATCAAAGTTTCTGTTCAGTTGAGTTGAGTCGATATTCCTGTGCATATATAAATATATATATTTTGAAGCCTTGTACATATAAATATACTTTTGCATACATTATGTATAGAAAATGCAAAACTTTTGGTCATGAAATTTTTATTCTAATTTTCATTAAATAAAGTCTACCATGTTTTACTGGAATTTATGGATATTGTCTAAGGTTTTTGACTTTGAATTTTAGTTATACCTGACTAATCCTGTACCTCTCTCTCTCTCGTTGTTTACATGTTCAAGTTACTGTTTACCAAAGGTAAAATTATCATGTAGCACCAATGGAGGTGTGATAGGAAAGGTGGAGAGGCACTCGATTTGGTCAGTTAGCCTTAGTAGGAAACTAGGAATATTTAGGTCTCATATATCATCATTTTTGTAATCAGTGAAAGCAGATTTTTATGGCTTAATGATTTTGTTGGTTAAATGGAATATATGTAAATGGGGATATGCTTGTAAGCAGATAGATACTTGTTCCAAATACTTGTGTCAATGACCATTCTGTATGTGCGTGGGGGGGGGATCCTCTCTCTCAATACAAATAATATAACACAAATGCAATAAGATTATATTTTCAAGCTATTTTACCGAAATTTGTCAAGGACATAGTTGGATACCGAATTTACATGAAAAATTGAAGTTTCCGACACAATCCAGCACACCCTTTACAGTTATCTAGGTATACTTCATTGTCTGACATGTTATATATGAAGAGCATAGTTTTCTCTTTTCTCACAAATACAAAATTGATATTATATTTTAGCATTTTATTTAGTTTAGCTGTCATTCCAGAAATCAAGCACCACAAGATTGCTAATCTTGTAAAATGTCATTTATTGATCATTTTTGCATGCAGCAAAATCACATGCAGTGATACTGAATTATCTAGTTGTTTTTAATCTTCAGAATGTGAAAGCGTATCTAAGACGAGGAACAGCAAGAGAGTCGCTTTTTCGTTATAAAGAAGCTGCTGAAGGTGTGAAGTTTGATCTGATCTTATATTATTATTGCCTTTTAACATTTTTTATGGATGTCTTCATGGTAGTTGGTTTGCCTTGTAAGAAACTATATCCATCCGTGATGTTTACACTGTTTTCCACGTTTTACGAATTTGAGTGGGACTTGCTCCTTGTTTTGCTGTTATAATTTTTTGACCGTCAATCAACGTGGTGGTTGGACCATTTCTTATCTGAAAAATTGCTTTGTTTTTCTGAACTGAAAGCTTTTTATTTTACTGTTGACCTGGTGCAGATTTCAAGCATGCCTTGGTTCTTGAACCACATAACAAGGTTGCAAATCTTGCAGAGAAAAGATTAAGGAAACTTGCAAGCTGATGTTGCCGGAACCGTCTCACTACAGTATATTTCCATATACAGAGATAAGTCGATCCAAGATATTACGTTGAGTACGATTTTTGCTGGAAAAATCAACGAGTGATGAACTATCGCTCTCCTTTTTCCTACTTTTGTATTATAGAAAACCCTAATTTTGACATTTTGAGGGCGAGAGACATTGATCAAATGTCATCTCCTTGTAATCAGTGCTGAAACCGAGCATTATACTGTAATTTTCTTTATGATTAATGTGGTCAATAAGCCAGCGAACTCAGTTTTGTTCGTTCATGACTAAATCACCATCATTTCTTCCATCGAAATACAGTTCTCTCATGTCCGCCATTCAGCTTTATCTTTACCGGCTCTTTCATGAAGATTTCAACCATTAAGGGACCAGGAATCTTGTACTTGACAATTTAATTAGGGTTCTAGTGGCAAATGCTATCCTGTGAGAGCACTGTTCCTTCCATATGATGCGAGAATGAACTGTGACCACACATCTCTTTCATTGGCATACGTGTCATTTTATGACCTCAGCAACTCAGCTCCCATGAAATGTAGACCTAGGTGTTTCCATACCCTATAGAATGAAGTGCTATGACACGTTGGTATAATCCATTTCCCATACAACCAAGGATTTGTGTTTGGCCCTACGCCTGAAGTACCAAGTAGGGGTGCAACTTGGATGGGTTCAACCTGAGCCCAACTTGATACAACCTGAGTTATTACATGGGTTGGGCCTATACCTGTTCATGGGCTGGGTAGTCTGATGGCCTGGCCTGGCCTGACCTGATATTTTTTAGGTTTGGATAAAATTTTAGACTCAAGGGTTCGGGCTCGGGCATTTTCCAATAAACTTGGCTTAGGCCCGATCCTGATCTCGACCCTATACTATGACATGTAATAGAGATATATTATTTATATATAATATATATTTATTTATAAAGTTATCAAATATTAATTTATTATTCAGGAAATATGAATTAATGTATTAGTTTATTAAATTATTACTAAATTAATATAATATTAGTTTATTAAATTACACAAAAAAGGGGGAATTTTATGTGTAGATTGGGCTTGGGCTCAAGATCTAGGCCCGAAGGTCAGTTTGGGCTTGGGCTCAGGCCTGGACATTTTCTATTGATAAAGAGGCAAAGCTCGGCCCCAACCTGGTCTGATCCGACCTATGAAAAGGTCTAATTGGGTCTTGGCCAGAAAACTTGGGTTGAGGCCTGGGGAAAGCCCAAGCCTGACCCAAGCTCGGCCTAACTAACTTGATCCAACCTAACGTGAGCTTGACCCCAAGAATAACCCAGGCTTAACCCAGGTTATTCTTGGGTTGATAAAATTGGGTTTAACCTCAGGTTGGACCAGGCCCGAGTTGCATGTATTTTATACATAATGTATGCATGCATGTATTTTATTTTATTTTTGATCAATAACAACATTTCATTATTTAATCACAAAAGTAATTACAGAGAGGAAGATACACTTTCTTATCTTTCAATTGGAGTTTAACACTCCCAAGAACAAAAAGGAAAAAATTACACTTGTCCCGAAAACATTGACTCCCTTTCGACTCCTTGCTTAGCTAACCTGTCCGCAAAAGAGTTAGCTGATCTTTTCACCTAACTAATCTTAACTTCCATCTCTTGATCCAGCCACCTAAATTTCCTCCTCTCGTTATTGTACATCCATAATTTGCTGTTTTCTTTATTCAGCCACCCTACCACCACCTCTGAATCCCCTTCAATGATGAGTTTTCTTATATTCATTTCCTTGGCTCTTTGAACTTCTTCCAAAACTGCAAAGATTTCAGCCCTGAAAGAGTCACCCACTCCAATTGGGCCGAATAACATGGCTAAGACAAGCCCATTTCATCCCTAAACACACCTCCAATCCCCGATTGTCCAAGATTCCTTCGACTACTCCACCAAACTTTAGTTTTAAGAAGCCGGCTAGTGGGGGAGTCTAAGACACACGCAAGATTGCTTTTGTTTAGGTGCAGTTAGCAATCTCACCCCACATCCTCAACAAATCAACCATTGTGAAGTCTGTAAACTACTCTGGGGATTTCAGCCACTGTACTACCCTTATATCTATCAATTCTCTCGGTTCTTCATTGCTTTTTTCTACTTCAGAAAAAATTATGGAATTCCTTTCCTCCCATAAGGCCCAACATACTGCAGCCCTTAAATATCTCCACACGGTCCTTCCCCTTTTCCTTCGGCATTTGAAGAAAGAAGGGGAAAAAAAAGCTTTGCAAATTTGATGGAGGATTTCATCTATACTCAAAAAGGGATAGTGCCCACCCCCAAATGGACTTAGCAAACTGGCAAGTCACCAATAAGTGGAAAACTAGTCTCCCCCTCTGCTTTACAAAGAGCACACCAATAAGGGGATAAACATGTCTTGGGTCTTTTCTTTTGGAGCATATCACCAGTGTTGATTCTTTCTAGAAAAATTTTCCAACAAAAACTGTCAATTCTAGGGGGAATTGGTCTGCACCAAACCTCCTTAACCAGGAAGGGAGGGCCAACAGGACTAGGGGGTTGACTTAAGACTTTGAAAAAAGAGGCACAAGAAAATGATCCAATGGAGGTGGGGGTCCAAATTCTAGAGTCCAACTTAGTAGGGTCCAAGAAAACATTATCAAGGATACCTAGGAGGCTCGAGATACAACCCAAGTCAACCAAACCCAGAAGAGGAAGGTGGCTCATTATAATATGACACTTATAATATACCTTATAAACATGTATTTTATACATAATGTATGCATACATATATATTATTTTATGTTATATAATATTTTTATATATAAACATTATAATTGACACTTATAGTATACATTATATGTAATATTATACATATAAAAGACAAGTTTACGACTAGGCCTGGAGCTTGTTGGTCTGGGCCTTGGCCTATGCTAGCCTTTATCTGATGTGCAAAGCCCGACTTGAGCCCAGCCCATGGGTATGAACGTGAATTGGACAGGTGACTATTTCACTAATGAAGTGGGTCTCCATTCATGCATTCACATGGATGGGTTCCTTGGTTGATGACCTAGTTAAACCCATAGTGGTGACCTATTGATTGGTTGATTGGTTTAGACCAAGGATTCAAGTATTGATATCAGGTATGGTACTAGACAACTAAGAAGTGGATATTTGAAAACACATGCATACAAATGAAAAATAGGGAAAGGGAAATGCATACAAATTATATAAATACATTAATGATATTAAATCTAAAACTGAATTATGAATAATGTATAAATACATGAAAATGTACATTTTAATAGATCATCTGAAGAAAAGCATTACAATCATCAAATATTTACTAAAATAGAGAAAATATACCTTTTTCTAGAAAATTATATAACTTTAAGAAAGTATAATATACATCTCCATAACATAACCTATAACTCATTTAAGTTATGCACTTAATAACATATAATTTTTTATTTTTATTATTTTACATTTTTATAATTTAGTATTTCCGTTAGCGTCCCTTAACGAAAGATGAAAGGACTATTTAACCCATATTGCTTCTTTAAATTTTTAAAATGAAACATTTGAATAACACCTTGTCAGTCTTCTGCATCTTCTCAAGGACAAAATCCCGAAAACCAGAACAACCTCCCACTTCTGACAATCCATTTGCTCTTTTAATGGCCGCAAATGTTGTACTAGATTTGCCTCCATTAATCAAAACAAAAAACCTCTCTTTTCCCCCTTGTATTTCTCTATCCAGTTGCCTCTTCTTCCACCAGTAATATCTGTTTCAGAGGTCTTTTGATGCTTTTCTTTCTTGATGCATGTGCTTTGGAAACATTTTTTTTTTTCGTTTTTTTATAGATTACAGAGGAAAAAAACTTTTGTTCTGGACTCTGTGGCTTATTATTTTCATTTTTTATTTTTGACATAGCATGAGAGAAGAACCAATAAGTTGACATTCCCACCAGTCAATGCTTTTCCACATAAGGTAGCAAATTGAGATCAATAACATTTGGTTTGCTTTTAATTATTAAAGAAGAATAAGGCGTTCTATTCCAGCTGCTAATTAAGCCTACTTGAAATTCTGAAATCGCTTGTAGTAAAAGAAGTTGAAGAATTACGATCTAACTATATGTTTTAGCTAGGGTTGAACGGAGTTGTCATTTCTGACCAATCGAATTCAAGTAATTAATTCTAGATGGCTGTTCGCTTCATCGGGGCATCTGTCGAGTGTCAATGAGCCTAGCCTGCACCTGAGTTGGAACTCGATCGTTTCGGAAGACAAGCCTGAGTTGAGACTCTAAATTTGAGCTTAATTGGTCACCATACCAGCTAACCAGCCTAGAAGATATGACGGAGAAGGAGGGTTTTGTCAGGCATTAAAACCTTCGCAATCTCATCTTATGATCATAAATCCTAAACTGAAAGTACTAAATGATGAAACAAGCTATATAAGAAGAAGATCCAAGCATGATGTCATGATGATGATGATACCAGAGAGAGAGAGAGAGAGAATCCGCTACACACTGAGAATGGATTTATAAACGTACGCTTATAAAAACCCAATTAATTGTTTTGTAAGTATCGTCAATTTGTTACAGAATTGATCAATCAGTTACAAACAAGCCATAAATGAATTCTTTTGCAAGCCCTTCTGAAATATACATACATATACATGAGAAAAATGAAAGAATTAATGAATGAATAAGCAAACACAAGAGTAGACACGCCTCGGAAATTCTATATAGAGCTGGATGGCGGAACCAGAAACAGCTACACTGTAATTAATGGTGGCAAAGAAACCTTCACTCTAGCTATTTCTTCGCTTGGTGAACGATCAGTATGGCAACAAGTCATGTGTGCTGCTTTGCACATTTAATCGATATCGTGGAAGCAACATCTTTAGCCCAAGCTATCAATTGGGACCTCACCTCTTCATCATTATCCAGCTTCTTAACATCATCCATTCTACTACTTTTATCGAATTCTTCCTCTGTTTCTTCGTTAACCAGCAGGTATCGCGGTATCTGATCCACCTCTCTGCTATCCAACTCATCCAAGTCGATGCCGCACTTTACATAATCAGCACCCGCCATGGCTAAAGCTTCTATCGACATATTTTGTTCTCTCTATTAATCTACTCATTCTCCATGCCAGAATTTTAATTTATAGCTTTCTCACGTTACGAATACGTACGATAGGAAGGTCTTATCAGGAATTGAAGATCAGGGGTGCAAATTAAAAGAAGAATTAATGCGGCTTTAGTTAACTGAATCATATGGCTTTTTATTG